TGGGGGTTGGAGAGGGGATAGTCCGTCTGCGCGCGCACGCTCGCACACAAGCAACACGTCGTAAAAACGTGTGCGCTCGACGCTTGGCTACGACGTGTTGCTTGTGTACGAGCGTGCGCGCGCAGACGGACTATCCCCTCTCCAATCCCCACCATCGCTTCAGCATACGGGTAAACGTTCCCGAACGGCATCACTGGTAGCGGCTAGGTTAGGGTTAAGTTTGTTACGTCTTCGCCATACGCACCAAGTCCACAGAAGAAAGAGTTATAGTGCGAAAATCTTGAAGAACTTTCTCGAGTATTGTGTGTTTTTATGAACATTAAAAGGAACTTTACTGAAATAAACAAAACGAAGATACATTTTCTTAAAATCAGACAAACGACAAAAATTATTTCACTAAAAACAAGGTTAGATAACAACAATTATACGTTTATACGTTTATATAGACACATGCATACTAAATCATCCTATTATCAATCAAGATGAGCGATGAAGATATGAATTGCTACGTGATCGTTCGTTTTACGGACGAAAATTCGATTTCTAGTAAAATACTAGATTTGGTCCCACGCTCATGGCTGCGCGACGACTGTAGCTGTTTTTACCCAAATCCGTGCGACTATCAGTACATGAAGAATTGTCTGTTATCTTTGAAAAAGCCTGAGGAACACTGGGAATCTTTTTCAATAGAAGTCATTGCATATGCAAGTAAGAAATTATATATATAGTTTTTGTACTGTACTACTATTAATTTACTAATGTATGCACATGTGTACGCGCCCGCGCGTATGTGTGTATATTTATAATTAATATTAACTAATCTGTGTGGTTACTAAAAATTTTTTCTTTTAAATTAATTAGAGGATTTGAAACAAGGGAAGAGGAGGCTCAAACGAGCCTTAAAATCAGATAAAATAAAGTGTACAGATGATGACGAACACCAACGGAATGAATGTGAACCTAATAAATGCTCCAGAAATACCATAGCACAAACTCTGAATGCAGTGAAACCATTTCAGTCCTACGGATCTTTCACTCAAAAATGCCAGCCAAAAACGAAGACTAATCCAAGTATAATATATCAATTATTCCCGTACAATTTTCTTTCTTGTTTTAACATTAATGTAATATAAATATTTATTTCACGTTTATTAAATATTTATTTTCACATTTTTACAATATCTTTGAAAATAAGTTTTAAATGAGATTTAAACATCATTTATACATTTATTTGCTACTTGGGAAGTGATCCATACATAATTATTTTTATGTTCAAGATGTATGCCCAATGGATGAAGAAGCAGAAGAGGTTTTGCCTATCTTAGAGGAAACTGCAATAGATATTATTAATGTTCCATCTAGTAAGTACTCAATATTTTATTAAATGTTCCGTTTTTAGATTTATCAGATCTGTAAATTAATATTCCATATTTCTTTTACTTTCAGACGATGTAATAGTTACAAAAGAATATGCAGATCAAAAATTTGAAGAGTTACAAGAAAAAGTATTAAGCCAAATAGCTTCTGCGAAAAGAAGCATTTTATATGATCTAGATAAAAAAATTACTGAATTGAAGCATACAATATTATTAAATAATCTGGCTGGAAATATGGCACCAGGAGGCGTAGAAAAAGTTAAAGCTGATTTAAACATAATTTTACCCATAAAAACATTAGAGGATTTTTTGCAATTTGAAGAAACTTTAATGACTTCAGAAGTGAAAAAAGACTCATTGGTAAATCATTTTTAATAAGTATAATATGTATAAGTATAAGTATAATGACCAAAGCGGTTGAACTGCACTATTCAGGGACCGGCAAAATTATTAACGGTCAAGGGAAAAGAAATTTTAGCTCCACAAACACATATCTGTGTTCAAGAGGTAAAATAATTTCAATATCAAACGTTATGTTCTATATAGTTTGTTCTACAATATTTCTGTAATGTTTTTTGCAGATGTTTTGATTGATAAATTTGGAGACGCGATGAGTGTGCAAAAATTACCGGGCCAGGTGGGGATATGGTTGTCTTAAGCTGGTGATAGAGAAGGTGGCCGAAAACAACGCCAAAAGAAAATTTAATATTTCATTTTCCGCCTAGTTTAAGCGCCTAATTTAAGCGTTGAACGATATATTATTTACATATATATATATGTAAAGTATTATAGCCTCGACATTTTCGTATTAGGATTTTCGTCTTACTTTTTGCTCTATTTACATATATATATATATATATATATATATATATATATATATATATATATATATA